TCGGCTGTTATGGCTGCCAAAAGGGAAGCCGGTTCCTTCATTGGCAAACAGTATCAACCATCCCAGAGAACCAGGGCTCTGTTGTGAACTGGGCTAGAGATGTTCACATTACATTGTGGAAAGGAATATGGCTTCATTCTGCTTGTGTCCTGAGAACTTGAGTGACGCTGAACTACAAAGTAATGGACTGGCCTTTTTGGTGGAGGGCATTTCAAACCAGGTAAAAATGGAGGTTAATATTAATTGTTAACTTGACTGGTTCTAGAATCACCTGGGAAACAGACCTTGAGGAATGCCTGTAAGGAATTTTCTTTTTTCTTTCTTTCTTTCTTTTTTTTTTGGTTTTTCGAGACAGGGTTTCTCTGTGTAGCTTTGGAGCCTATCCTGGCACTCGCTCTGGAGACCAGGCTGGCTTCGAACTCAAAGAGATCTTCCTGCCTCTGCCTCCCGAGTGCTGGGATTAAGGTGTGCGCCACCAACGCCCATCTTTCGGTAGTATTTTAACGTGTCTGTCAGGAGACATTTGAGGAGATGGTTTTCTACGGTCTTGTATTGTGCACCACTCATAAAATGTACAGAACTTAAGCACAGATGTTCATGTGCCCTGGGGGACTCTAACCAAGCACCATGTTCCATCTCCCAGTAAACAGATCTTGCTATCTCTAAAATATACACAGCCACATTTCCATAGCAAAGTAAACAACCATTGAATGTGGGGTCAGCAGACACAACAGAGTCCTGAATGGATGAATGAGTCAGAGGACACAGTGAGAGTCCCAGAGACCAAGGTGGAAGCCAAGTTTAACACATGGGGTGGCTTTATCAAACCCTGCAGTTACTTTTCTTGTTGTTAGAGAAGGAAATCTGACATATGTTTGGCATATTTTTAAGTTCTGTAAGCCTGCTGTTCCTCTCCAGCAATCTCTGAGTGAATTTAGTTACAGTCAAGATGCTTCCTTTTGCTCATGAGGGACTATGCAATCTGAAGAGTTTCCACTGCATTGTGGATCTCAGAAAATTTGCATACATTTATAAAGACCTCTGTTGAGACATTTGAATACATCAATTCCACAAAGAAGTATCTTTAATTTCATTTACATTTGTATCTGTTAATCTTGTCTACCCAGAATCTCTAATCATTCTAATATATTCTTACATATTCTCCTGCCATATATTGAGTGGCAGTGATGTCAATGTATGAATTCACAGCTGAAAAGAAAAATAAGATAGATGACTTTTTAAGAATAGTACATGGATACTCATTCAGAATTGTATAGATTAAAAGTTCAGCTATAACTGTTGGTCACACCTTTAATCCCAGCACTCAGGGGTAGGGGCAGGTAGAACTCTGTGAGTTAGAGGCCAGCCTGGTTTACACAGTGAGTGCCAGAACAGCTAGGGCTACACAGTGAGAACCTGTCTCAATAAACAAACAAATAAAGGTTTACTACTATTTTTTTAGTGTAATGCTAGGGATCAAATTTGGGATCTTGAATGTGCTATGCAAATGTTGTGCCACCAAACCACATCCAAAGTCACTGACATTCTCTTCTATTTGCCTTGCAATTCCAGTTGTTTTATTAGTTTATAATGGGTTTCTTCACATAATTTGACTTTGAACGTATTTTATTTTATGTATATGAGTGTTTTGCCTGCATGAGTGTATGCCTGCATAGGCCAGAAGAGGGCACTGGATCCCCTGGTAATGGCATTACAGATGGCTGTGAGTCACAGTGTAGGTGCTGGGAACCAAACTTAGGTCCTCTGCAAGAGCAATTAAGTGCTCTTATGGCCGAACCATCTTTCCAGCCCCATCATTTGGTGGTATGTTTAGTTTTAACTTATATTTTATGATTGGATGGCAATTTTAAAATACTGTGTACTTTAGGTCAATATAAGGTATTTATTTGTTAGGTTGTATGCAAAAGAGGGATGCTGGGTCAGCTGTTCCTTTTGGGTAAGAAGTTTGTTAGGAGAGACAGTGTTGTGTTGTGGGAATTCTGCAAAGTGCTCAGGCCCATGGAAACAGGTACAGTTTCCTCTCCTACAGGTTTCCAAGGGAGGGCAAGGTCTCACACCATGTAGTTACTAAGTAGCTCATAGGATGTACTTGTAGACGGGTTGCCTCTGATTCCCAGGCATCAGGAGAAGGGGAAACGTTCCACCTTTTGTGACTGCAAAGTGACCTGTCATCTCATTGCAGTTGTACCTGGTAAGGAACCAAAGGGGGTACAGCCTGTTTATGTATGACACAGTGGCTCCAGCCTTTTTGTCTATATTTCATTTTGTTGTTTTCAAGACAGGGTCTCACTATGTAGCTCTGGCTGGCCTGGAACTCACTATGTACACCAGGCTGGCCACTGACTCACAGACATCTGCCTGCCTCTGCCTCCCAAGTGCTAATATTAAAGGCGTGTACTGCCACACTTGGTTTTGTTTATATCCTAAAAAGGAATAGGTAGATGATTTTATAGAAAGGGGAATTATTTTTTTTAAGATTTTATTTATTTATTATGTATACAACATTCTGCTTCCATGTATATCTGCACACCAGAAGAGGGCACCAGATCTCATAACAGATGGTTGTGAACCACCATGTGGTTGCTGGGAATTGAACTCAGGACCCTTGGAAGAGCAGTCAGTGCTCTTAACCTCTGATCCATCTCTCCAGCCCTAGAAAGGGGAATTATAATACACAGGAGGCATATGACATGATGGACATTGAATTCAAATCTGTGATTGCTTTTTGATGAAGGGTCACTGGGTTTGGATGCTTTCCCATCTCTTGATATCTGGGTGTGAGGCTGTCATCTGTACTTATGCATCAGAAGTATGGTGTCCCTGTGAGTCTGGCATGCCCTGTGGCCATCTGGAAAAAAAAACAAAAACAATTATCAGGTGACCTGAAGGTGGGGCTATGGAAACAAGACTCAAAATGGTTACTAAACGAGTAACTACAGGCATGAGTTATGAGGCCCATGATGAATTCTGAAATAATTTTGGGGCTGTTGAGGTGGCTCGGTAGGTAAAAACACTTTTCGAATAGACCTGACAACCTGAAACCACCTAAAAGGCGGAGGGAGAGAGAGCTAACTCTATATTGTTGTCCTCATGAATGCCACACTCATGCCATAGCATGAGAGCCTACACACAGTAACAGTAAACACAATTGAAAAATATTGTGAGTTAGTTTTGTTGAATAGAGGGGGCAAAGTCGAAGAGTTAATAACAAAGCAGGCACTATCAAGAAAGGAATTTACTGAAAGCTAATTGAAAATATAATGCTTTCTAAAGAGAGAAATTTGAAAACAGGTACCCTGCATGGCTGGACAATGCTTCTCCCAGAAGACAGGGTTATTAAATGAAAATCTCAATGTCTAGCATGGGATACGCCTCTATGTATTACTGGTCAGAGAGTTTCCCACAGCGCCTCCGCCCCCAGTAACACAAGCTATTGTCATCACTCTTATTGCCCAACAGATCTAAATAGTAAGAACCTATTCTTGGCTAGCCATGGTGGCGCACACCTTTAATCCCTGCATGTGGGAAGCATAGGTAGATAGATCTTTCTGAGTTTGAGGTCTGCCTGGCCTACAAAATGAGTTTATATTCCACACAAATATTACAGACTCAGCATTATTATCAGCATCATATGAAACTTTTTCTAACACATATCAGATTGGAACACAAAGTTAAGTCTTAACAAATATAAGAAAATAATTCCTTGTATTTTTATCTGACCACAGTAGAATAAAGTTAGATGTTAACATCAAGAGAGACTGCAGAATAAATTTACAGCAACAAAATGAAAATTATCAGCCAATTCCCAGATGAAAACAGATATAAAAGTTCTCAATAAAATACTTGCAAACTAAATTCATGGACATATCAAAAGTATCATTCATCATTGTCTTAGTTAGGGTTTCTATTGCTGTGAAGAAACACCATGACCACAGCAACTCTCATAAAGGAGGTTTATTCCACTCAAATTGTGGTGGGACATGGAGTGCAGGCAGACATGGTGCTGGAGAAGCAGCCAAGTGTCCTACATCTTATCGCACAGGAAATGGTCTGAGACACTGGGTGTGGCTTGAGCATATATGAGACTCTGAAGTCTACCTCCTCGGTGACACACTTCCTCCAACAAGGCCACACCCACTCCAACAAAGCCACACCTCCTAATAGTGCCACTCCCTTTGGGGGTCTTTTTCTTTCAAACCATCACCATCATGATAAAGTTGGCTTTAACTAGACTGACCTTGAATTCTGTCCTTCTGCGTCAGTCTCTAAAGTGCTAGGATAACAAGCATGTACCCCTTACCCCCAGTGAGAGGATTTTGAGTGTCTCAAAACAAAGAAATTATACATGTTTGAGGCAATAGATGTGTCCTTTACCCTCATCTGATTATTACATATTGTGTATATTTGTTGAAATGTTATGTTTTATTTCATAAAGATATATAATTATTATGTATCAGTTAAAAATAAAAATATATTTTGAAAAACAAACTTTAAAATTAAGTT